CCTGCTACATCCTGGAACTGTGCTGTGGCATGCTGCTCCTGTCCTTCAAGGCTGCTAGGAAGGGCACCTGGGCTTCATTGTGGCACTTGTGCTTTGCTGGCTGGGCGGGTGGTGGGGGCAATGCATTTCATAGGAGAGGTGTGGCACAGGTGTGGGCCTATAGAATGGGTTGACCCCACCCCTGGACATGCAATAAAAGTGTGTGTTTGGGATTATGCTTGTTGGGGAGCCCTGCTACATCCTGGAACTGTGCTGTGGCATGCTGCAACTGTCCTGGAGGGCTTTCAGGAAGCGCACCTAAAGCATCCTAAAGCTTGACTTTAGCACTTCTATGTCTGCTTTGCTGGGTGGGTTGTGGGAGCAAATCATTGCATAGGACAGGTGTCGGATGGGGTTGGCGTGCACCTTGCAGAGTGATTGGTTTTTTTGAACAGGCATCTGAGAGCAGCATGTTGAGCGTACATTCAGTGTCATTGAGTCAAGTTTTGGAGGTCGGGTCTAGTGAAAATATAGGATTTCAGCTTTGGTGGGGTCACACCAATTTATGTCCCTTTGCTGGTGGGCTTCACCATTTTATAGCTATAAAATCTGTGGCAGGACCCCCCTACCCAGAATTGACACGGGGATCTTGAAACTGCCTGCCTTCACGTTCTTTATCGCGCACCGGCCAACAGGAAGAACAAAACGCACCGGCCAATGGTAAACTATGAGCTAACCGGAAAAAAAAGAAGTCTTTGCGCTCAGTGGTTGTTGAGGGAACCCCAGGTCCGGTGCCCCCGTCAGCCACCAGGTCCGGCGTTCGCGGCCCAGACATCTCGGAAGCCGAGCGGCTGCTGCGCGAGCTCCGACAGCGCGAGGCCGGTCGAAGACGCGCGAGGTGCGTAGCCAACCGGATGGATTCGCGGAGAATCCTTCGAAGAGCAATTTTTGGACATGTTTCGTTGGCTCCAGCGATTCCAGCTTATTAGGTTGGACGCCATCGCTAGTAGGTTCAAATTTCAAGTCTATTTCGTATTGCCCAAACAGGTCTTAGCAATTTGGGGTCTCCACGCCGCCCCTGAGGCGCAACGGAAGGAGCTGCTGCAGCGCGCTGCGGCGGCGCAGGCGGAAGGCCGCGAGGAGAAGCTCCGGCGCTGCGTGGAGGAGGCGCAGCACGAGGACTTCGCGCAGGCGGGCGACGGGTCCCGAGCCATGGGGGAAGAGGTGTAGCTTTGGATATGCGGAATGTGGGGCACACAGGAGTGGTTGGGGGTAGGGGCGCTGTCATTCGAGGGTCGACAAGCTAGGCAAGGCTGGCGACCTGCGTTCAGTAGCTGAAGAATCCCATGTTGGAACATGTTTTTTCCTTAAATAGAACTGGCCTCTTCGGATGGCCAAACAGGTGGAGTGCAGCACCTCCACTTCCATGTGAATGAATTTCCTCGGAGAGTACTTTGTGCCCAATCCAGTTTCTGATACTCCCCTCGAGAGGACCACATGGACCCCGAAAACCACGTCGGGTTGTAGAGGAAAATGGTCGAAACCACGGGTCAATTCTAAGGTTCCATGTTAGTTTGCGGCGGGGTCTCCGTTCCTTGTTGTGGCAGGGGTTCGTGATCGCCCAGACATTCCGCCCAGGAGCAACAGGCCATGTCCGAGGCGCTCTCCCGCTTGGTGACGCCCCTTGGTGACGCACCGGTGGAGGATTCGGATCTCTCCACCATTGTGATGGGCGTTTTCCGTCTTTTTGAGCAGTGGGTGGGGTGGGCAGGGCATGGAAAATGGGTTTTGCTAGGGAGGTAGGATGTCAGACGGCAACGACTGCTGGCGACTTGGGGGGGCTGCTAGGTTTCTTTCATCGCTTGCGCATGTGTACATGCTACCATGTGTGCCAGCTACATGCTCCATGATTTCTGTTGACCACATGCATGCTCGCAAATTTCTGCGGGCTACTGGGTTATCTCATGAATTCATGACATTATAGAATATGACTCCGGAGGACCATTCTTTTCACGGCATTGAGTGGCGGGAGGAGATGCCAGTGGCTTTTCCAAAACATGCAATTCTTGCTCAGAATCCTGGCTTTCTCACATCAAATCGAGCTTTCTTGGGTTTAGCCTGGTCCGTATCGTCTCGGGTCGAACCGGTTATTGCTGCAGGTTTTGCTTGACCCAATCAACGCCCCACTCCTGAGTTTGCAACACGAGGAAAAAAATCCAAATTCATAGAATACAATGAGCGGAAATAGAATGTGATAGGCTACCCATGCATGTGACAATCAAAATATATGAAATGGGCCAAGTTCTTTCGGCAGAACGGGCGGGTTTTCGGGCAGTCTTAGACCGTCACGGGTGGTTTTCGTGAGATTCTGGCGTTGTAGGAGTTGATGGGTGAACATTTGTGGTTGGAAGACCGATGGGTTATTACTGGGCCGCCCTGTCCCTAGATAGCCTAAACCGGACTCGAGCCGAATCGGTGTTCGAATCGCCTCAACCGGCCTTGAGGACGAAGCAAGAGGCAGAGCGAGAACACGAGCAGCTGCTGGAGGCCCTGGCGGTGGCGGCGCGCGGAGGGCAAGTGGCTGAAATCAAGGCGGGTGCACTGGGATGGATCTGGGTTGAGGGACCTGAACTGGGACCTGACCGAACTTGACCTCAGGTGGGTCTATAGAACACACCTGGACCCCAAAGCACCAGAAACCAATGGCTTCTTCCAAAGCATGGCGCGGATGAGATCCTCTATATACTACCAATGACGTAATCCAACTCCAATTCCTCCCTCACCAGCCCTGCCACCCGCGACCTGCAATTCCTCGCAGCCCCTCGTCGACCCGACCGTGCCAGGCTGCGCGGAACGCCGCCAAGGCGGGGGGCGTCCCCATGAAGGAGATCGCACGGGTCTTTGCGCTGCACAACGGCTCGGCCGGGTGAGCGGCTGTAACGGCCGGACTGAGCGGCGAACGAACTAGGGGGAGGAGGGACTGAGTGAGTAGATAGTATGGGTGGTAACCGGTATGAAGAAGAGGATTGGCACGGGTGTTATCGGGTGTTCCTGTGTAGTGACCAGGTGTTACGGTTTTTTGTTACGGCCTCAGAATGTAGGACACGGGGCGACGTCACGGAAGTCACGCGGACACTGGAAGTCGGATCAGCCAATCGGTTGACATTTCCATGGCGTGTCAGAAATCGTTTTGTGCTACCAGCAGTTCCAAAGGGGTGCCGGAGGCTAGCGGTGCCCAGAACATCCACTCACTGGATGGGACTAAACATCACCACCCCTTTGTGACTCTTGGTGCAGGTTTGTCCGTAGGTCTTCCTCGCTCGACTGCAGCACTGGGCCACCACGGTGTGTGCCCAACATGGTGTGCAGTGTTCACGCGGCAAAATTGACCGCTGGCAAGATCCAAAAGGGACGCTTTGCGGCTCGGGTGCGGCAGCCGTTGTGGGCATCCTTTCAACATCTTTCAACATTTCAACCGCCGAGCTCTTTGGCTTCGAGGATTTTCTCCATCACTTGCACCCCGCGACCCCCCCCAGAAGGTCATTTGTCGACCTCTGGCTGCTCCGTTCCTCCCAGGCCGTTGGGTCCACTTCTTATTCTGCCGTGCCTACGCACGGAGCAGAGCAGAAGGCTTTGGGTGGACACATCCACGGCGGTCATGGGCGACACATCGATGGTCATGGGTTCCCCATGGCGGTCCCCACCATGGCTGAAGTCATCGATTCGATTCTGATTGGGTCTTCTAGAATGGGGCGACCGCGTGTGTTGTCGGTCGTTCCAAAACAGCATGAGATTCATCGAACACTTCCGGCCACACTTCGGATTCGGGGATTTCAGTGGCAGAGTTGTCAACATGACCCTCTCGTGTGGACCAACCTGGGGGGGGAGGTTGGTGGACCAACGGACGCTGTGGCCGATGGCCGGTCTGTCCATGGTTTGAAAAGGGTGACCACACCAGGCCAGATGTGGCCACTTAAGGATTTTTGTTTGAGATCTCAGGCAGTCAGTACCACGAACTCAGGGTTGGTGAAAGAACCCTGGGAGAGAGACCGCCAGAGGTTAAGCCAGCAGGGTTTTGAGATCTCTTTCCTTCTCCATCCCCGCGGGGTGCTGCGTTAGCTCGATCGTTTCGCTCAGCCTCGCCGTTCCTCCACGAAACATTTACGGCCTCCAGCGGGGGGGGGGCGTGGCTTCGAGCATGGGCTCGGGCCGACAGCGGCCGTGGTGACGCCCGACCGTGGGGCGGTTCCTTTGTGGCCATGACGGCGGCCGTCGGGAAGCTGAGGATGCAGAGGGAGAGCGACAGAGTTCAGGGGCGCGGCCAAGAGGAGGACAAGAGGAGGACAAGAGCAGATGTGTTAGGGAGGTGGCCTAGCTGAGGCCCCGCTTACGGTGATCTTTGGTGATCTTTGGTCTCCGGAGAGGGTTCCTTAAAAGGGACGCAGCTGGACCAAGGACCACCAGAGCTGGGTGGATCATTTTTTCGGTACACATTTGATCTGGATTTCCTGAAGATCGTTCCTCCGAACACGGTAGAGTTTCTATAGGCTTTTTGGAGGCCTCACCACCACTGTGAGGCCAATGAATTGGGCACTTCAAGGGTGGGACTTCAATGGCTTTTGCACGTTCATGGAGAAATCGACTGCTTCCAATCTGTGCCCGGCATGGGCAGCCCACCCACGGACTTCCCCCCCAGCAGCGTGCCGGAAAGAAAACCACCCTTTCCAGATGGGCCCGGGTTCTCCGGGGTGAACGGACCTCGCAGACTGCTTGGCGGACGGGCCTCGCGGACTGTCAGGTGCCGATGTTCGACCAGGGCTGGAACGTGCCGGTCTTTGCCTCTCGGTTTCCTCGGTCAGTTGCCGGTGTTTCGGCGGGGGATCAGTGGGAGCGGGTTCTGAAAGGGGTGCGCGCTGGAAGATCTGGAAGTCCAGGAGCATTTTGAAAGTTGTTGATCTGGGTGACCTGTTGGAGGGTGCTGGTAATATATATTATAGTTATACCCTAAGTGCAAAACCCTGAGTCAAACACTGATGGTTGTTTGGCTCTTGCGGCGATTGCCCTTTTTACGTTTGGGCCGCGCCTGAAGCGGTTCGCGCCGTTGCGGAGCCGTCCCCAGGGCCCTCCGGAGTCGAAGCGGGATCCGGCGAGCGATGCGACTATAGGACCCTGCCACCAACAGAACTGGATAGCCGCAGGGGGTCATGATTCCAGGTGATTCCACCAGCTTCTAGATTTCCAGTGGTGCGTGCATCGATTCGGGGTCTCGGATCCGAAGATTAAGCAAGGGAAATGAACCCGGTTCGTGACCGTGTGCTTCTTTGTCCCATGCGTTGCCACCGGATCAGCAAACCTTTTCTTGGCATGTGTTAATCTTCTTGACTGGAATTCCGAGAGCCCAGTGGGCGCATTTGGGTGTTACAGGGATTTCTGGATTGCTGGATTCAACATGTACAAAACAGCAGCTCCACTCTGAAGCACAGACAGGCTGAGAAAGCAGTGAAATGGCTGGACACGACGGTAGCAGGCGTCCGCGGCGTCCACTTGGTGCCCAAAGTCAGTGGCACGAACCCTACCATTTCAGCGGTCGAACACGTGTGCAACAACTTTTTGCCCCATCACGGACAGCGATGGGAACACCAGGCCATCTACCCCATGGTGCCTGTGCCGGCGATCAACCTGGTCACCCGGCTGGATGCAGATGCCTGGACCGCCAGGGGTTGCCAAAGAAGTCGGCCAAGCACCGTTGTGCTTGAAGAACACCCAACAGAAACCCAAGTGTTCTGGTTGTTTCAACACGGATCTTTTGGATTCTGCCTGGTGGTTGGAGAACTCTCGGGCACCACTCTGGGGACATGGCGGAATCCACCCACTCTGGGACTGATGGGATTGCTCGAAAATTTGGTTGACCTCCCCGAACGACACAGCACCCTGGACCCTAGAAGTCTAATTCGACGATCTTTGGGCAGCCCAAGTCTTCAAGTTCCTTTTATTTTTTGGGATCACCTGACTAGGCTCCCAGGGAGCACCGGCGCGGGAGTCCATCGTGCTGGACGATCAAGGAGAGGTGTTTTGGACAGGGAAAAGCAGCCAGGTCGGGTGAATTCCCAGATGGCGTGGGGGAAGGGCCAGGTGCGGCCAGGTCCAGGTACTCAAATCTTTGACCTTGCTCAGAGCTGAGCGCCGCCCAGCGCCAGCCACCACACCTCCGCGGAAAACCCGTCCGCCGTGCGCTGTATTCAGCTGGGAGCAACGGCTTCAGGTGGGGATAGTGGCAACGTTCCAGTCCTGGGAGGATGAAGGATCACGAATGAGCGGCTCGGCGGGCCGATAGGGGTTCTGAGTCTGAGTTTGTGAGGCCAAGTGGTGGACGCGGACGCGGTAGACCTGGGTGGGGGCGGTAGACCTGGGTAGAGAAGCAACTGGTGGAGAAGTCAGTTCTCAAGAAGCTCATTTTTTGTAATTTTTCGTTTCTTTTTTAGTTGGAATGGTCGGAGCTGAGAGGCAGTCGACTCTCGTTGAAACTCTTGTATGTCGGTCAACATGTTTCCGGAGTTGGAATCATTTGGGTCATCTCCAAAGTGAGATGGTTGCTACAGTACCTGGACATCTCCAAGTTGTACCTCAATCCACGCCGGATGTCCGTCTTAGAGGATGTCCGTCTGGGATGGGATTTGCCGATGTTCGTCATTGGCGGATTTTCCCGTCGACCTCGTGGCGCTTCTTCCGTTCGACCTCCTCCAGGAGGCCCAACGGAAGTTCACTCTGAAGATAGGAAGGTTTCGTCCCGCACCACATGGGTGTGTAGCTCCAAGAGGCAAAACTCCCAGGCACCGACCCGCTGGATGAAGGGAAATAGACTTAAATAGATCAAGCCACCCATTGGCTGCGGGGTCTCCCTATCATTCAAGTGCACTGCCACAAGGGCATGACTCTGCTTGCCGATCCACGTGTTCGCTGTTAACGCCTGCCTGTGCCCCAAGGAGAGGCGATGGGTGAAATGCCCGTCCACTTCTCCTTCTGTGTGGGCCCTACCGGTTGCAGCGACGAGCACCGCGAGGGGGTCGATCGGTTTTCCATGCACCGCGACATTTGTCCGACTACTGCTTCATCACCCAAAGCCTGGACACACCAAAAGCAAGAGCTCCCAACCTACATCCACTCAGCACATGAGACATGGGAGATGTGCTGGGGAGATGGGTGGAGACGACTCGAAGCTCTACCCGACTCTCCGTGGTTTTCACCGCCGTGAATGCCGCCCACACGCCCAGGTGGTCATAGAACACATGATTGCACATATACACCCTAGGCTTCCACGACCATGTCAATAATGGTTGACCTGGTGTTGTCGTGTAAATCCTCTATAGTAAAACAATGGCTGTTTAGTAAAGGTCATCAAAATCATGGTTGTTGGGGGCCTAGGTACATGTGCATAGGCACACAAACACACACGCACACACACAGGATGAGTTCCAAAAGCCACCCACGGGTTTCACCATGGTCCCCACCGCACCCTCAATCGACGCGGACGGGTTTCCTTCGGCCTCAGCCACGTGTTCTCGTCCCGAGGTGAGAAGCCTCGCTGGAAGATCCTCTGCTATGGCGTCCCTTGGGTCGCAGCGTTCGGCTCGCGACGCCTCGGCCCCGGGTAGGAGGCGTCGGTCCGGAGCAACGAAGGCCATGGGGCGCCCTAGCGGTCTGGGAACGGCTTTTGGATGGTTGGAGGCCGAAGCGCTCTCAGCGCTGCAGAGTGGATGCCTCGCCTATAGCTGTTTTCGGGCCCGTGAGGCCCCACTTGGGACCAGAGAGGGTGAACCACATATTTGGCACCGACTGGCAGACCGAGGATTGGTGTTGCTACCTCCAAAGTCGCTGTACTTCAAAACGGTCCACCCATTGGGCTTAGGCATGCAATATAGATTTATTTATATACCTTGAGTCTCCAAAGACCTTTTTTTTCTGCGTTTTTGTTTTTGGAGACTTTGCGTTTTTGCGTTTTTGCTCGAAAAACGCGTTTTTAGAGATGAGGACTCAAAAAAAGGTGCAGAGTGAATCTTCATCCGGACGCGTCCGGCACGGACGCTTAACGACGCCTTTTGGACGCCGAAAAAAGGTCTCAGGACACTGTCTAAGGAGGATCTGACAGGGCACAAACAAAAAAGGAACATTTCGTGACATATGCAAAAAAGAGTGCTTTCTTTCAAAAACCTCTTTTTCTTGGAAAGGCAAATTTAAAAGGGTCATTGGAGACTCAAGGTAGATATATAATCAGGGGCCAACTGACAAAGACCTACGTTAGCTTTCACCCACCCCACACCAGGTTTCTATTGCCTGCTTTGGCCTATCACCAGACCCTTTACCCGGTCTTGGTGAGGACAACTGGAAAACATCTCTCTACTCTCCACTCCCTTCAGGCCCTTCAGCTGTCTTCAGTCGCAGCTTCCTCTCTCCACCCCGCTGGAAGTCCGTTCGACCATTTGTAAAATGGTTGATCTGGTTATCGACAATTGCTAGTACAACAACTTGGTTGCGTGGCTAAAGGCTATTGAATCAATGGTCCGTTCGACTTCCAGGGCACCCATGGCTGAGACGGTCGCCTTCCTCAAGACCACCGCGCCCAACCCGCCCCGCACCGCGGCCGAACCGCTGACCGCACCGGAGTCGAACAAGGACAGCCTCACCGCCGGCTTCTTCGCCGGTGGCGCGAAGTTCGACCCGTATGGCCGCAGCATGGCCGAGGCCGGCCTGGTCGGTGGGCCTGGTCGGTCAGGCACTGCAAGGCTTTGGGGCCTTTGGGGGTTCGGCGATTTGTTGGGGATCCAACGGTGGCCGGGGAAGGGCGCTGTGGTTTTGGGGATGGATTTTGGTTCTGAAGACCATCCACTCCTTGGCCTGGGCAGAACAGCAAGAACAGGTTTCGGATGGTGAGGGAGAGATTGGTAGTGGTGCTTGAGTCAGCTTGGACTTGGAGTCCTTGGAGTCTGTGAGTGTGCAGGTGATAGGTTTCGTTGACCCTGGTGCTTCTGAGCCACGGGCACTTGACTGGTGAACTCGGGCAAGGTCACCAAAAAAACCCAGCAAGGCACCATCCAAGCCCACTTACTGGACAAGTCTGCAAAACGTTGGCAAACACCTGCACGGGCCAGGCAACGACCCATGGGGGTCCCACCCCCCATGTCCGCCGTGGGCCCGTGGCCAGGTCTTGGCGAACGGTGGCATCGAAGCACAGGCGCCGAGCCGTCATGGCACGGCGGCGGTCGGGTCGAACGGTTGGGCCCCGTGGCTTGGAACACAGCAGGATCAGGCGCTTTCCCTAGCGGGTATGAGGGACCTTGGTTGGCTCCACCTGTTGTCTGTGTCCAGTGCCAGGCGTTTTGGGTCTCGGGACCTCGGCGTGCGGCCGCCGCGAAGGTCTCGGTCTGCGGGCACAGTGGCTGCACCACGGCCGAGATGCTCCGCAGCGCGGAGAGCGAGCTGGTGGACGTGGCGCGCTGCCGAGGCGGGCCGTGGAGTCGAGACCGGAACCAGCTCTTTCGGTGGTTTTGGGACACCCCGAGTCAAATCAGACCGAGGCTATATTAAAGACGCCTTTTGGAAGGTCCTGGTATGGGGTGTAAGTAGGGTGTGTCATGAGTAAGCCGGGAAGAGTTGGTAGCACCGAGAGGGCCAGGGCCAGTTGGTGTGCTGCTTGGATGAACATTGACGAAGACTCTTGATGAAAAATGCCCCACCTGAAGAGGTGCTTGAATCCCATTTCTCACTGACTACATCCACCAATGCCCGTCATACAATATGATCAATATGACAAGGGGTTGTGTGGACGTGAACCGCCCGCAAGTGAGTGCATCCAAATGGGATCTACATTGGCATGTTTCTCGGGGGTCTATCAACCGCCCGTGGTGCTGGGTGGATTCCAAGAGCCGCCAGCCCGAACGCGAACGGTCCCCAAACGGTCGACCTTCACCACGCCCCGGACCTCCCGGAGACCCAGATCGACCGGAGGGGCTGTGACAGATCGACGGCGGAGTCCGGGCAGGACGCTCGGGCTGGGCCTGGGCCCTGACGCTCCGGATGATCTGAACCTGATGATCTGGTGGCACACGGTTCACGGCACCTTTCAGAGCTACGTAAAGTCGGTCCAAACCTATGGGCCCGACCGGTGGGACGAGGGCCGACACACGCGAGGTCGGTGTAGGTCTTCGAACGGCACTGGACTGTCAGGCGTTGGTCTCAGCAAGATCTTAGAGGACCAGAACTACGTGCCTTGGATTCTCTGGTTTTTCAGCCTGCAGGTCCCCAGCCTGGCGGGCAGGAACCGTTGTGGACCTTAATTAATCTGGTGGGTGCTTCCTCGATTTTCACAGATTTTCACAGTAGAGCGGGACCCTGTGCCGACAGCGGTTTTGAATCGGTTTTCAGGACCATACACTTGCAGGACATACACTTACCAGCACTTTGGAAGCTGGTTTCTGACCAGTAAACCACTACCTCACCTCGGCCAGTTGATCAGCGACCCAGTCGGAGTTCGGAGTTATGGACCCCACCTGGGAGTCCGAATCCCAGTTGTTTTGAGGAGTCCAACCGGTTGGACGACCCGTTCCGTCCGATGTTCGTTCCAGCTGGACTGGTGGTGAAACGCCCTTCCAGCGTCCCAGGAGGTCTTCCAACAAGCATCCAGCTTTCGACACAAGAGGTGATATCACCTTGGGTGTTGAATCTCAAGATTCAACACCCTGGATTCCAAGATCGGCATTTCCAGGTGCAAACCTGGTGACAGAAAAGGTCGTGCTTGGGTGGTGCTCCGGGTCTGGTGCTCTTCGGGTCACGGTCTGAAAGTTGCGCAAGAGCGGTGCATCTGCGATTTCAGGACCTGGTGATCATCATGTCCGGCACCAACGACCTTGGTCGCGGGACACCTTTGGATGTCATCGTTGAGGAGCGATCTACGGTCTACAGGGCGGCTGAGAGGGAGGTGCTGAGGCCATCTTACACGCCAACCCAAACTTCAGGGATTTCCAGCGGAACTAACATGGAAGTGGAGAATGGCCCCTTGGAAGACCATTTTCCACTACAAACAGGTGGTGCCATCCACTTCCATGTTAGTTCCAGGGAGAGTAAACCAAGCCCGGAGTTTTGAGTGCTTGGGGTGTCCTTCAGAGGACTCTTAAGACCCAGCCGGCGTGCTAGTCCTGCTGAGTTCCCAGGGCTGTCACGGACATCCAAGTCCAGGGCATTTGGGTGACGTTCAGAGGAAGGTGATACCCACATACTCGGTCCACCCAAGCTCGGTCTAAGAACATATGCAACAGGAGATGAAGGAGATGAACATACAGTAAGTATGAACAATAGTTAGTGTAGGTAGTGGAAAGACAGTTCTGAATTATACTGTTGGTGTCACGTGCTCCAGTGCAATTGCGGTGCTTTGGTTTGGTCGGTGGGCAGCTCCATCCTGTCTTGAAAAAAAAGGGATGACCGCGTTAGAAAAAGCTTCCTTGAACACTTCGGTGTCAAATAGAGTCAAACTGGATGACAAGTCCGGTGCCCAGGTTCACCACCTGTTAGGGTCTCCAAACAGCCTCTTGGAAGGTCCTGCTAACCCCGTCTGTACTCTTCTTACAGACCTGAAGGCTCCCCAGACCCGAACCACGGCGGACCGCGGACCACGTCGCCAGGACCTCGTGGAACTGCACGCCCTCTGCCATCGTCAAGGCGGGAACGCGGCCGGGCTGCGCTGGTTCGGTGCACAGGTGTAGCAGGGCCTTCCAGAAAGGAGTACCTGGTAGCCCCTTTGCAGCACCACTTGGGGCTGGAAACCAAGAGGCTTGTTGAAGAGGAGCTGCAGCATGGAACCCAAAAGGCTGCCATAGAATGCAGATCAAGCACTTTCCACCTATAGCCATAGCTGCACTCCCACATCTCCCAAAGAGTTCTTCTTTTTCATCAGACAGCTTTTGGACTCCCCGCAACGCAAGCCGTGACTCTCGTTCCTCGCGTTTGGGCTGTGGCCGCAGGAGTTTGCACCATGGCTTTGGCACCTGCACCTGCTCCTGGGTATTGCCTGGCACAGGTGGGGGAGTGAACGTCGGGGTCAACGTCTCTTTTCGGGGTCGTGGGGGTCAACGTCTCGTGACGCGAGACGTGCTGCTTGGGCTTCTTGGGTCGAAGCTGCCTGGGCTGGGAGCAGCAAGAGCATCTGGTGCAGTGCTTCAACGCAGAAAGGGGGCTCTAAACTCTCTGGACATAGTCATGGAAGTGGCATCCAAGGGGCCATGCCCACTTCCATGATTATTCCACCAAGTCTAACTTCATTGGGGTGGAGAGGGTTTCCTTTCTCTTGGTTGAGTGAGGCAAGCTTCTCGAGTGGATTGTTGTGCTGAGATTTTTTTTTAATATCTCCGCTCGACCTGCAGGAGATGCAGAGGCAATACATCTCAACTCGGCTTCTTGGCATAGAGCTCCCTAGAGAGGTCTCTCACGGTGTGCAGAACTTATCGATGAGAACACCGGTGCCTCGGGTATTGAAGGGCTAAATGAAAGTGTGTATCTGGAGCACCCCTTAAGACCACAACAAAGCCCAATGAATCGGTCTTTCAATAAGACGTAATAGTGACTTAGTGAGCACCCTCACTGACCTGGCCGCGGAGAAGAGACCGATCAAGCCCTGATCCAAGATCTGGGGCCTCTTGAGATTGACCCACTGGACTTCCCAGACAAATTTGACCAGTCGTGTTTCGGGCAGCTCACGGGTCATGTCCTGAAAACCGGGGCAGGTCATGGCAGGTCCACGAGAAGGCCACGTTCCGTTTTCACCACCTACGAAGGCAGCGGTTTTGGTCCACCGCCTTCGTCCCCGCCTCCCTGGTCGCCTCGGCTGGGGCGACGCTCCGAGGCTGAGCGCCCGCTTGGGCGCCGAGCCGCGCGTGGTCGCCAGCATCGATCCACAGGCGGGCGAGGGTCGGGGCAGGGCGGCTCGCTGGGTCGAGCTTTGGCGGCTACCAGGAGTTGGGTGGTTTGGGTGAATGGAGATGCCGCTCCGAGCCACAATAACCATCCCACGTCGTGAGTGAGGTTGATGTGAAATGGAACATGTCAACGAGGTGAAGCTGCGACACTGACCAACACACGGATTGAAGAGCTCTCTTGCAGGATGGAAGGTGTCTTAGAAACAAATTGCACACGTCTTCCGTCATGAGCTTTGGCTCCATCCAGCCAATGATCACCTCCTGATCACCATGCCGCACGGTTCCCCTTGAACGAAGCCCAAAAAGAACACATCTCTTAGTCTTGGGTCTGTCCTATTACCTGTAACAGTCAGTAAGCCAGCAAATCACTATTTTCGAGCTGTCGGCCTGCCACCTAACCATCATCATCCACTGGGTGGATGACATGGACAGACCCAACATGAGTCTCGGACAGCCAACCCGGTTGACTGAACACCTAACCCGGATAGCCGGCCTGCTAGGACTTCCTATCTCCAGTGCCTTGTTCGATCGATTTCCAGCGGGTGGGGAGGCTTCTTGAGTGCTTTTCATGGGGGAAGCCACGGAAGTCAGGAGGTTTTGAGCCTCCAGGCCCTCTAGGGCTTCCACCTGTCATGTTTGTTCCAACAACCAAGGAACGGGATGTCTTTTTGGACACCCCGTTCCTCACCGCAGACCGAGCTAGAATATATACTGTAGACACCCCTTGGTGGGGCTTCAGACTGGGTCCCCTGGTTCGGTGCGCCACCGGTGGGCCTCGGACAGCGATCGTTCCCCATGGGGGGGCCTCCGTTTGAAGTCCGCCCAACTACACCAACAGAGGTTTGAAGAACCCGAACGTTCGACTCTCCCAGGAACCGGTACCCCTGTCCTAGGACCGTAAATAGACGGTCACGGTCCACCTCTCTTGGTCGTTCCATTGCCCATTGAAGGGGTCCCAGATCGTACGTACCGCGACCAATTCCTCAAGGGTCGGGTCGAATGTCCCGAGTCATCGCGGCGTTCGCCGTTCGCCGGGTGGGTATTGGGGGGCGAACGACCGCCCACGTTCGTTGGCCGCCGTACGCGTTTGGGTCGTTTTGGGTCGTTTTCGAGCAAGTCTTGCTGGCAATTTCCGTGTGGTAGTAGTTGTGGTAGTAGTCTTCTCATTCCCCCAGGGCACTCGGGGGAAATGATCGGCAAGCTAGCAGGTTGACAACTGCGCTCGTAGTTATGGACTTTTCAATGTCTGACGGGGGGTGGGGCTGGGTGGTGGGGTGATTCCATTCGGTTGGATGTGCTTGGAAGATGATACCACATGCACACACGCGTCTTGGGTGATTCTGGGTCTTACAATTAGAAAAGGATTCACTGCACAAAAAATGCCAATAGAATTAGACATTCAGAAGCTATAGCAACTAATCTGAATTAAACAATCAGAAGAGGTAGACAGCACAAACAGAATGGCTTGGTCTCAAGCTTCTCATCCATCCGCTCCGAGCCGTTCGTTCGTTCGTTCCGCTCCAAGCCGCGCTGAGGCCGATGCTTCGCTCTGGGAGATGGATGGCCTGCACTTCGCGCCTCGGGGCTCCCAGGCGCAGATGGTCCGGGCGGACCAATCGGCGGAATGGGCGGCGTCCCGGTCCGGAGCCCGGTCACAGGTGAAGCGATGGGCACCGGGTGTGGTGAGATGCACAACAAAGAGCTGGAAGGTCCAGGTAGATGCACAAGAGTCTTCGTCGTTGGCCCCAAGTGTGAACACCTGGCCCGGCCCCGACCGCGGTCCTTTGTTGTTCATGCGTGCAGCTTCGGGCCTGCGGGCGGACCGGAACGAAGTAGATCGAGTGACCAGGTTCCAATACAGCCTGGACCTGCCTGGTTCGGTGCCGTGTCGTTCTCTCCGTTCTAAACGGCTTATATGTGTGGCCTCAGAATGGAGCGTTTTCCTTTGGTGGGCTGGATTTGGACCCCCAAGGCCCTTTCTTCCCGTCATTGCAAGAATAACTCTGAAGAACGGAAGGCACGGTGTCAAGAGCTTACCTGAGCACTGACATCTACTGATCTCATCCGAAGACCCGCACAGTACTGGGCCAAGCCGCGCCGCGCCGCGGAGAGGTCTTGGGTCAGAGCTTGGCCATCTTGGTGGCACAGCTGGCAGGAGTGGAGTGGTGTGGTCAGAGCAGGTGGAGTGGTCAGGGCAGGTGACAACAGAGTGAGAGGAAAACCACGGCGTCCAAATCGCACATCCTGGCGTCCAGGCCTTCGAAAGTTCCCCCGAAAGTGCTGCGTCAGACTTTTCCGCCCGTTCCCAGTAAACAGCGTTACAGCAGAGGTGCACATCAAAAATCCTTGGCCAACCCAGCAGGGAGCCAGCTTGGGACGGGGGGTTTGGGGTTTGATGGTTTCGAAACCGCAACGCTCCCTTCATTGAGCGAAGCCGGGTGGTCCACCCCGGAGATTCTCACAGTTTCGGGTGCTTGCCTTTTCCGGGGGTTTGTTGGAATGAGATCGTTGGGGGTCCACCCTCCACCCCCGGAGGGGTCTGGTGACCATCACTTCCCTTCCTCTCCACAGCGGCTTTCTTCGCTCCGGAGCCAGGAGCTTCCACAGCCGAAGCCCAGTGAGCCACATCCAGCAACAGCGCTGGCCGCGGACGACGTGAGTCGCGGTGTGTCCCGTCGCAACCGTTCGCCCCCAAAACAGCAAGTCCACCTGCAAGTGTTGGCCCTTTGAAGGCCTTCCCGCTACCCCGGACCTCGAGGTCCGGGGTGACCAAGAGGTCTGTAGAGGTTGGTCACTCAGTGACCGCAAAGTCGGTCACTGGGAAGGTCCGTTCGGTCACTGGTTGGGTGGTTGGTCAATGGACAGGTCTGTGCCCACCCAAAGGATCTGTCTGTGACCCAAGTCAGGTAGACCATGCAGCCCCCCCCGCGGAAGTCCAGCCAGCCGCGCGAGGTTGCTGGGTTGGTGGAGTGGCCATCCAGTCTGGTGTGGTGGATGAAAACTCATGAAACACTCTACATCAGGACCTTTTTGTTCAAGGGGGTGGATTTTAGTCCCCAAGTGAGTGGATGTGACACTCCAACTTCGGCACCCGCATGGAACTACTGGTCACTATGTGCCTGTTTGGGCCATCCTTCGTAACTCTCACCCAGTGTTTCTGTCCCAGCCGGACCTTCACTTCCAGACACTCACACCCAGTGTCTCTTGTCCTGCATGACCCGGTTGGGGTGGAACAGCACCGCGGAACCGACGGAACGCACCGTCTCTTGTATTATGTGTTCTGAAGGCGACGAGTCGTCAGCTGCAACTGGGGAGGTGGCGCCCTGTCACGTGCAACGTGACGTGCGTCCGACGGGGAAGATCGGGATGTGCGGAGACGGACGCCAAAGTCATTCACCTGGATTGGAGGCTTGTCCTCAAACCCATTTCTGTATGCCGGCATGCAATTGTTTGGGCACTTTTATATTTGAGTGGATCTCTCTATGTGGCTCTGACATCCCTAAGTTAGCCTAGAAGTTGGCAATGGACGTGTTAAGCGCGTAGGGGTAGAATGTTGTAGAGAAGTAGAAACGATTGCAGGCTTAGGTGACTCACTTGGCACTCTGGCACTTCTCCTGCATTTTTTTGGCATCCCCTGCAAGCTCGATGATATCAAAGCAACTCCGCTGCCAGATCTGGGAGGCCATTTTGCTCCCCCCATAGCTTACGGCACCCGCTGAGGACTTGTTGCGAATTCGCAGTTGGGAAGTCCAAAAGAGTTCCCCCACCTGAAATCCTGACGTCGAGGCTTTATATCTCTCGGGAAGCGGCTCTTGCAATGGGGCTTCGCTGCTACGCTACAATCAGCAGGGATGTGTTGAACAGATGGTGCTTCAGTGCCCAGTGTAAACGAACGACGCCTACGCGGGAGGAGAAAGGCACATGTCGCCCAACCCGCATGAAATCGCACCGTGCAAGGTGGAACAGGGAAGCCATGGGAACCCTGTCAGCTGAAGGAGTTTCCACAGCCTAACGAGGCTTATCCTTATCCTCCAACACCCAAGTGCCCAAGGTGTGGGGTGCGCTACCGGGGTGTCTAGGGTCCAACCACCCCAAGCAGGGTCCAAACACCCCCAAACGGGGTGAAACCTGGGTGTTTGGTGTCTCTTTCTTTGGGTGTTGTGTCCTTGGGCTTGTACAAAAGTGTCGCTAGTACATGTCCAAAACCAAAACTAGAGTTGTGACCGTGTGGCAGCGCAGTGATTCAAAGTGATCGGTTTGTGTCTGACATGCGTAAGGGCACGAGACAAGGGCATTGGGCAAAAACACATGAGCGGCCAAGGCTCGCAAGCAGAGGCAAGGTAGCCAAGGCAGGCCTAGCGAAGGTTCCAAAACGAGAGCAGGGCGTTTGCGCTTGTATCTCAATGTGTTTGAAGCGCTGCCGCCCCCGAGAGGGACCTTGAAATCCGAGAGAGCTTCAGAGATGGTGGTGGTTTTCCTTCAAATTCCCATGGATTCTGAACTATGACTTCTTCCAGGGAGTATGGACCAGCCATCCGAGTGGATCGTATGTCGATATCTTAAAATGTTTGGCAGAATGCAATGAAGGCTTAGGAGAGACCTTCAACATCTCCAATGCCATTACTAGCCCTGTCCAGGTTTTGGTGGACTTTGTTTCGTCGCTCCTCGATCGGCCGTTTCAAACAGCCAGTGGTGGTCGGCTCTTACGCCAAGAGCGCCAGTGCCCATTGGAAGAGCCTGACTCGAGCTGCCTGCCTTGAATGCGTCTCTTTCAGCCCAGTGAGCCTGGTGCTCTCGAGCCAGGGGAAGGCGTCTGATCCCGCGTAGCGGAACGGTGGAAAGTGTCAGGTGGGCAAAACCGATGCTCTATAGAGGTCCAGCTTTCACGCTTGTGAAAGGCAGCCAAAAGTGAGACCCGGACATTCCGGAGTCTCGGAGGATTTCTTCTACGCTTTTTGTGGATTTCATCATGGAAGTGGAATGGCCCCTTGGATGGCCATTTACAATACAAAGATTCTTTTTAAATGTAACCTCCCCCCAAAAAAGTGGACAGTGACCTGAACTAGAACCCCATTAAGAGCGGTACCTAGTTCGGTATAGTCGAACGTTCGGGTCCTTCAACCTCTGGGAGGTCACTGATTCCAAGGAGTGTCGACCAGACTGTCGGACATGGGTGCACCGAACCCACACCGCTTGGAGCACGGAACGCACGACACGTGCCCGCCGACCACCCCTCCAAGATCAACGCATTTGGTTCTGAGCCCTTTGTGAAACAGCTTCCGCAAAGCATTCTCAAGCATATAAAAACTACCTGGCTCTAGGCACCAGCGGCTGGCGCGGCCAGCTGCGCTGTGCCAGCATGCTCAAGACCCCTTAGGCAGATGTGTACATATGCCGGCGCACGACCTGAGCGCGCACGACGAGCCGCGGAGGTTGATGTTGGTCGGACCCAACACTGGGCAGCGACATGCCAGTGTTCTTGGAAGGTGTAGATATTGTTCACACTAGCAATGATTGATAATAGTACATAGTGACAGCAAGGATGGTAATAATAATGACAAACTGACCCTGTTTCGACTAGATCTCCCAAAAAGGAAGCTAGCGAGGCTAGCATTGGCACTGAGACGCAGCGGACGCAGGGTACAATGTCGGGGGACCGGTTGGAAGGAGGTTTTGCAAGTCTTTTTTGTTCTCCAGGAGGGCCAATGCCCTTGCCGAAGAGGAAAGGATGGCAATCCTTGCTGTTCCGGATTCCCACGCGCAATCCGTGCCCCTTCCCCTCGTTCCGTGTCCCTTCCTCTCTTCGACCGAAGCCAGCCCCCCTTCGCACCGCCGGACGCGCGGTTTGCCGCGCGTGCTCTTTGCCGCACTTGAGCAGAGGATGTGCCCGTGGTCCGATGGAAGGCAGCACAGTGCTCGACAGTGCTCCCCAGTGCTCAATAGATGGCACGGTTTCCAAGACATGTCCAGTGGGGATAGTTGAGGTTTCTATACTCTATCTTGGGGGGTCTATATATACACCATGCTGGGCCATGGCACTTCGCCCCTTAAACCAACACCTCGGACCACGGTGGACCGGCGCTGCCGGTGATCTGAAGCCCGGTGGCGGATCACCGCTGAAAGCGAAAGCGAGTAGCAGTAGGACAGCGGTTTTCAGCGGTTTCGGACGAAAAATGAGTGGAAATCCAGTCTGCCTGGTGGTTTTTGCTGGCCTTTGCATGATTCAAGCTTGAACGAGTACAACACCATAACAGCACCGACAAACGCCTCAAAGCACTCTTTTTGACACCATATCCCATGCATTCGCTGGTTCTGAACCCATCCGCCGCACCTCATCGTGCCCCCTCCGCCCTCACAGGCGGATGGTCTAAACCACCTGAGGGCACTGCACGTGAAACGCACTCCGTCGCGCGTGAAACACGCCGGAACCCTGCGACTGGCGACCGGACGGTCAGGACGGTCAGGACGCCCGAAAGGATGCTGAAGAGATCCTTCCATGAATGGTACGGTATAGGACACAAGCTCTGTTGGTTGCTCTTTTCGGAGCGTTCGGTTGGAGCTTTCCTCTGACCAGTGGAGGAACTGGTTCGGGTTTCCTTTGAACATGAGGAACCTTCGCTTGCCTTTCACCTGACCGACGCTGCCTGCAAAAATGGGGGGATGAAGCCGCTCCTTCTGTGGGTGGGTGTATCATGGTATATCCGGCCGTTTTTTTCTCAATGTAATTTTTCAGCCACGGAGCTTCTGGACGTTCCTCCGTGAGCTCGAACGCCTCTTCCAAAGTGGCGCGGGCATGGCACAGCAGATCGACTCGGAGCATACCAATTCAACGGGGGATCTGGGGTTCGAACCAAGAAACACATGCAACCATGGATTTTGTGATTGGCTTTGCGACCTTGCTTCTGCTTGAGATACCTGCCAGGACCTTCCAACAGGCGGCTTTTGGGACACCCCTAACCTCTAAGAAGCTACTTATCGACACCGCTTGGAAGGTCGTGGTATTATGTGCATATATGTGTCTATATATATATATATATTCAATTCAATAGTTGATTTGAAGGAGAGTGTCTGACAGCCGATGTGCAGGACAATCATGTTTCTGGTGAAGTGGACACCGGTTTTTCTGTCAGCGCTCTCGCCCTGTGATATTCGAGTCATGAGTGGAACTGAGACCTCGATTTTGCCCACATGTGGGCAGAGACCTCGATAAAGAGACTTTAAAACCTTGGAAATTGGTACACTCAATGAGCGCAGGAAGTCCCTGGCACACGCAGATGAAAAAAACAGTGGTACCAAAACAGGTCAGGCATGCCGTCCTTGCGGCTCACTATACCCACACCACAAAACCGATGAAACTCTTTACCTTTTCACTGCCAAAGCCACCCTGGAAAACGAGCAACGCCTACCTCATTGAGGGTACCATACCTCCGTACCCTGTGCCCGGTCACACGCTCCAAGGTGAGGATGTCTCGTGTGAGCGCCCGGCGATGGACGGAAGGGACGCGGGCGAAGCGCACCAGCTTTGCGGCCCCTGCGAAGTGGCCAAAACCTTTGGTTTGGGGGCACCAAGAATAGACACCCTATTTGGAGAAGATGTTGGGAGATCTAAGGTGTAGAGTCTGAGGGTTTGTGCGAAACCTTCGGATTCCACGCGACGCATCAACCACCGCATCAACCACATGCCGCCACGGTTCTTGGCGATGTGGGTGCGCTCGCTCGCACCATCGGTGGCCCCCGTTTCTCGGAAGCTGCCCCGTTCTCCGAAGCCCAGTCTCATCCGGTTCCAGTTGAAGGTCCGGAAGTGTGAGGGTGCAGGTCTTCAGGAAGTTCTCTTTCAGGTCTCTTGAGGACTCTTTGCAAAGTCTTCAATTCCTGGTTGTTTCCCGGTCTTTAGGTGTTTTCTTGCTTCCATCGATGAGGAAGCAAGAAGAACAGGCCTGCACCAGAACGGACGTGGCTTCCATGGAGAGCATGGTTCTTAATCCCTACCTTCTACCAGGACCGAAACCAAGTTAGGTGGTTTTTGGACACTGCTTGACCCCTCTCAGAGGCTTTCTCACTTAGACACCGGACATTGGAAGGAAGGGTGCAGACTGGTGAGTGGATCTTCACACCTAACTCCATCTGACTCCTACAATCTCCATCTCCCACCTCGCCCTGGAACCAGGTTTCGTGGTTCTCCAGCCCCTCGGGCCCCTCCGAAACAGCACCGAGAGAGAACGCACCACTCCATATGGAACGAAGCTCCTTCAGCGGTGTGTGCGGGGAGCGGTTTTGAGGCCAGAGAATGCTACACCACAGGTTGGACTGGAGCGGGTGTGGTAGGGTGCTTGATCGACCCTGCTAGATGTGAATAGCCTCTTAGAGGTGATTCGGGGTGTCCAAACACCACC